TTTGAAACAAGTGCAAACTAGACAAATTATAGTTTTTTGGAGACACCAAAAATGTATCGAACTGCTCTGAAAACATCATCATACATTCAACACCCCACCACATTGCACGCAGAAACCACGTTGCCAGTGTCATTTCCACCGAACCAAACACCAAAACCTCTCAGAAAGAAACACTGTACACCACTGTACAACAGTCAAGCTGCCCCACTACTCCCACTCCCAAGCACAGTCACAAGCATATTTTTCCGTCAGTTGGATTCTCCGTTGTGGAGACTGGAGATGAGCGTCCTGCATCAATTGGCTTTCCTAGGCGGGAGCACCTGACAATCGCAGACGCGCGCAGTCAAACTTTAAATGTGCGGCTCACAGACGGCCACACCAAAGCACATTTGGTTAAAAATCGGTTTGAAGACGCGCATAAAGTTTGACTGCACACATCCTGACAAGAACCCACATCTACATCACAAACATGGTTCAGCGACAAAGCCAAACACATATAGCGCAAGCCTCATTGGGAGGATGCAGCTGCTGTGCACGCGGCAGTGATTTAAACAACACTAAAATACTATAAAATACTCAAATAGTGTATATATATATATATCATATATACAAATGATAGAAACTATTCACAACCAGACACGATTCATCACCATACAGCTGCAACAATCTTGCGCCCTATGTGGCAAAGCTCAGCGAAATGCAAGTCACATCATCATCCAGTTCATACTCATAGCTGTACACACCGTTGCGCTTGAGTCACTAGTCGCCAGACTCGTGACCCTTGCCGGTCTTGCCACCCTTGCCACCCTTCTTTGACTTTCCTTTGTTGCCTTTGGCCTTGCCACTGCCCTTGGCGACCTGCGACTCCGCCTCGCCGCCGCTGACACCTGCTGCATTGAAGATCAAGTGGCCGCTCATGTTCACAGCGGTGCGAAGAGCCCTGTGGTCCTCGTCGCGTTCTTCTTGGAGACGACGAAGGTCTTGCTTCATGCGCTCGGCGTACCCAGCTCGTTTGCGGGCGCGCTTCCGGCCTTGCCCCGGCCTTACTTGTATTGGCACTGCATCCCTATACCCCTCATACCCCAAAGCCTTTTTGATTGAGCAGTTTTTGGGGTGACCTTTTTATAGAAGTAATGTGAGACACAACCATAAACATACATAAACACAGTTAACATTCTTGCGTGTCAAATCTCACGCCGGGGCTCGCCGAGTACTCGCCGCTCGCCAGCCTGAAGCCGTGCCCTCCTTCGATGTACCGACCGTGGTTGCGGTGTGACCCTGATGCTCCGCGCGAAGACGATGAGGGAGAAGCCGATCGCATATCCTCCCTGCCCATCCTCCACGGCGGTGGTCCATGGGATGGCGCGGGAGGTGGTGGAGGCGGAAACGGTGGTTTCACCGCAGTCGGCCATGAAGGTGTCTTTGGCGGTGTCCTGGGGGGTGGCACAGGCGGAGGTGGCACTTGCACCTGCTTTGGAGGCGCCGGAGGTGGCGGCGGTGGCGCTGGTCGATGGACTGCAGGCTGATGAGGTGCACGATGATGATGTCCGCCTGCATGCTGTTGTGGCCGCGGCTTCGACTTCACCGGGCCAGCAGCCGGTGGAACCCAAGCATCCTCATCAGCGTCATCAGTCTCCGAGGTAACCAGCTCATATTCTGGCTCAGGCTCACATGGAGGCTCCACTGCAGGCTCATCATCTTCCTTCTTTTCCTCCTCCTCGCCCTCCCACATACACCATTGATACCATTCGGCCCATTGTTCATCTGTATACACCTCGTCCTCCTGCTCTTCCTTCACCGCTGATAGGCATGCACCGCCACCTTCGGTGTGCTCTTCACCTTGTTGCGCTCGCAATGCATGTTCTTGGGTACCATATTTAATCGCTTAACTTAAATAACTCTTGAATGAAAGCAACCCAGCGTGATCAAGTATAGAAAACAATCCCCATCACTCACACACACACAAAGGGCCATGCACGACAGGTTATATATATATATATATTGCTTTTTGAATCGGAAATGAGGTGTAAGTCCCAGCCCGTTTGGTCGTTGATGAGGTTTAGAAAGGTTCCATGAAAGCCAAGCTGCTCGGCTCCGGAGTGGCCGAGGTGTTGCCATCGTGCGCTTGTTGCGCATCATCGCGCGCGCTCTCCTCGTGCGCGCTCTCCTCGGGCTGCATGTAAGGGTCCGTAGACACAGCATCATCCTCCATGTGAGCCGACCGAAGGATGCCCTGCCGCACGGAACACTGCAACACTATATGTGGCCTGGGGCGTAGACCTATTTGCGCAACTGTGAACACTGGCTTGTGAGCTGTGAACGTTGTACGGTTTGCGACGCTCTGTTCATTACAACTATAAACACTGCACTGTCGGTCTTGAACCCATGCTGCGCCTCAGACCTCAGAAAGGAAGACTGTGAGACCTCAAGAGTAGTGGAGCCCTCAAACAAAGGCCTCATTCAACTTAACTTAAATCTCCAACCAATAGGTCCCTCCAACTGTCACCAGAAACCTTGCACCCAGTTGAACTCTTGGATACCCTGTCAACAAACGGATGGTTCAATCGACTGCAGAGCACAATGACCTGGTTGTACATGAACAGACACCCACGGTATGAAATACTTCGGCACCCCCAAAGCCCTTGTTGACACATACCTGCAATGAGATAGTTAACACCCTCCAACTATATAGTTGCGAAAACCCTTCACCGATTGAATTCTTACCTGGTCCTGGTTTAAACATACATGTGATGAGAGAACCTCTACAACATGCGTCAGTACCATATACGGCTTGAGCCTCTCCACAACCCTGGTTTACACATACCTGGTCTCAACGAAAGATGTCAACAAACGATTCAACCAACATTGAGCTCAGCATTCAACCAACATGACATGTTTGCGCATGAAAAACTCAATATGATATCCTTTCCCGCGAGCAACGTGGCCCTGCGTAATTGGCGAGTAAGGCTCAAACCCACCCTGCCAGGTGTTTGCAACGCGCGCGCCTCCAAGACGTGCTCCAATATCCATTGAGATGAACAGCCTTGGTTCACACAATTCAACGACAGCCAAGATACAAAATAAAAAGCAATGGCTCATGCATCTCAACAACAACCGAAACACAGTCCATATACGAATTCTATCATCCATGAACCTCAAAAGAACAGCCACGGTCACGCAATTCGACGACAAGCAAAACAGACTCCCATAAGAAGGCTCTCATCCATTAATCTCAGATGAAAAGATAGTTCATTCAGCTCAACGACAACCAAACAACACAATCCCAGTCCGGCTTGGATCCTCAACGGCTGGAAGCATCCTCGCAAACAGTCCTGAAGAAACGGTAGCCAGAGCAACGACAGGCAGGGCTTTAGCTCGCCACGATAAGTGCAGGGTTGATGCTCGCATTCTTGTTGCACGCTGTGATCTTGTAGTTACAACCACTTGTCCTACAGTTATAGCTTCACTGTCGAAATCAGGCCAACGTTTTCAATCCCCATAAGAGCCGTCTTCTTTGGCTGCTTCCCCATAGTGCTTTGCTGCTTGTGTACATCTACACAACTGACAATGACCCAAGATCCAATCATACACAGTGCCAACGCTTGGCAATGAATTACAAATTTCAATGCATGATGGCGCCTTCAGTCAGAACCTTGGGACTCCTCCACAGCTGGAGGTTCTTCGTCTCGCTCCTGTGAGTCCTCTACGTTCTGCGATTCATCTGCCTGTGAGTCGTGGGCTTCATCGGCCTTGCGCTTTCGAGTGCGACCCAAAGCCTGCGCCTCCTTCTCGTCCAGGATGCATGACCGAAGGTATTCCAAGTTCACCTGAGTGTACTCAACCCACAGATCGGACTGGACGCTCCACAAGACTTGCATTCTCACCGATGCCGTCCGCTGCGTCTCTGGCGTGTCTAGGTACACGCTATGGCCCGCTATTGCCCTGTCGGATTCGCGTGCTTGGGTATCTTTCTTTTTCCCCCTGAGGCTCATCGTAGGGCGTTCTTCACAGGCCTCTGCCTCGGCCAACGCCTTCCTCAACGCACTGTTGCAGGCCTGCCGCCGCAACTTCAAGAGCGAGTCAAGGCATTGGTAGTTCACCGAGTTGGATTGTTTTCCACTGCGGCGCTCCATTGTCTGACCAGTGGCGAACTTGCAGAACCCGCGATCCCACTTTGAAATCTTGATGAACTTGGTGTTCTCCACAGTGCATGTGGTGGGAATCCAAAGAGACTTGGAACCCTGAACCTCCACAGCGTCCACTTCCTTCAATGTGAAAGACGGGCGGTCAGACATGGCAAATGCAGGCTCAGGCGCCCAAAGTCTGCAAACTCAACACTCAAACGAGGGCTCACGTGATATTGAATAGAAAAGCGGCGGTTATTCCTTTGCGGCGAGCGTGCCCTGCCACATGCGAGCGCATGGCCCTGCACATGCATGGAAAACATGTCACCAAGAGCATCAATGGCTGTATGACTATCAGTGACTAACAGAGACTTGGAACCTCCTTCTCGTCCATGATGACAGAAAGCATACTCACCAAGGATAACGAGCTTTAGTTGATTGATCATCAAATGGAACATATACTGGTCAAAAGAAACAACCTTGACTCATCGAATGCCCTCTCCACATGTCTGATCAAACGCTCTGGCACGCCTGTCATGGGAGATAGAGACCCATTTGCCAACACAATTCGTCGAATGAATGCACCACGACACTGGATGCAACTCAGACTCAACGAACTGCAAATGCAAACACAATGCAAGAAATCGAACACGCAGAATCAAGTGAATGCATCACATGGCATGAAATACTCACCACCCCCCAAAAACAAACATTTCACCGAAAGTGCGAAACAGACAGAGTTTTCCTTCACAGCTGACAGCTCACATCCAAGTACAGGGTTCATCGATCCCTTCATCGATCCCTTCAAAAACAGTGGCCAAGCCTTAGCCTCAAAAACCGTGGCGCGTGCCTTTTGAACTGTGATCTCACGTGGCCTCATTTGGCCTTTCGCGCCTTCTTCTTCGGATGCCCTGTTGGATCTTCCGCGGCCTCAGCCTCCACCTTGGGCCTATAGACCAGCAATTGTTCTCCCTTCTTCACAGCCTTCGTGTTCCTCAACACTGGAACTTTCAGCTCCTTGACCTGTTGCCTGCCCAGCGCCGGCCAGATCTCCATGTTGGCCTTGCTTTCATCCTCTGTGCTCCGCACCATGAAAGCCGGGCTCACAAGGCAACCCTCCTTCAAAGGATGCGGCATGAGCCACATGTCAAAGACAGCTTCGCCAATCTTCTTCTGGCCCATGGAGATCGCCGAAGGCGGAATCTGTTTTCCCTTCGTGGCCTCCTGCACCTGAATCTTTGAGGTCACTGGGATGATCTGCAAGGCATGCTTCAAGATCGCCTTTGCTGCAATCACGTCTTTCGCAGGTTTGGTCTGCAATGCAATCAGACCTTCCAGGCTCTTCTTCTTGGCGGCCTCGCAAAGGGCCAAGCATGCACTGGCCTGGAGCTCCATGACTGAGACCTCCACCGACTTGAACGGCTCCCGATCTTCCCAGGCAAGAAACTCGACGGGCGCCTTGGCCTTCACTGTCTGCCATTGGCCCATCAGAAAATCCTGTGCGCCAACAGTCATGGTCGTCTTTGAATCTAGGTTGATCGTGACTTTCTCCGAAGTCATGGCCACAATCTCGCCCTCCTGTTTGGTCTTCTTGTGGGGCGCCCGCTGGCTCACCGCGAAGCCTGCCTCTTCCAAGGCTGCAGTTGTGCGCTGTTTCCCGCTCTCGTCGTACTCACGCATCCTGCATGGGTGTTTGACGATGCCATCAAAACATGTACCAAATCGACAAACAGGGTTTCTATGTCCATCTTTGTATATGCATGGGTTCAACTCCTTAATCTCAATGCATGAAAACAAATAAAGCATAGCGAAACCTACAATCCAACAACAAACCGTGGTCGTACATGCGGCGCGCCAATCATTGCACTGCCAATTGGCGAGTCATATTCACAGATATGACCCTGCCAAACCAATAACACGCGCACACACACACACACGCGCACGTATATGCAAGGTTCCTCGGAGCAGCCGGAAGAGAATGACTGGCGGCTGCTGAAGCCGAACCACCTGAGGTTGTCGTGCCTGAACTGGATGGACGCCATGGGGAGACGAGGTCAGGAGTCTTCAAACCAGAATGCTCCCTCATCAGCATCACTGCACTGTGAGCAACACTTTGCAAACTGTCGCGCTGCTCTTTGCCTGGCTCCTTCTTCTGCAACAGGCAGAACATCAAAGAGATCTCAAAGTCACCTTGATGCTGCAACTTGACCTCAGCTGGCACGTCAAGGTAATTGAAGAGCTTCTGCACATCAGTGATCAACCCCTCACATTCCTCCAGCTGTGGCATCATACCTGACTTCTGGCTGAAGAGACGTCGAAGGTCGCTCGCCGTGATCCGAGACTCAATGGTGAAGAGTGCCTTAAGAAGCGCGTGGCGGCACTTGGGGAATTGTTGCGCTCCCGTGTGTCGCATCTCGGTTGCGAGGGATTCGTACACCTCGGGTGCCAAGTGCCTTGCAGGCACGCACTTGATGCGCAAGAAGGCCTCCGTCTCTTTCAGGAACTCACCTGATCGCCCCCCAGCGAAGTGCATGACGAAGGTGTACATGCGCGGCACTGCACCTGCATTCGGGGGCTTGGAACGCAGCACCTGCGCTTTTACCTTATCATATAGGCGCACGCCGCTCCCTGGCGGATGATGGCTGTGTGCAGCCTTTTCATCACCTGGAGGTCAGTCTCACGCCTCGCCAGCTGCCCAGCTGCATTGTAAGCTGCCTGCACTGTCTCGGCCAGCGTTGGCCAGGCGGTGGAGCAAGTGGCCTCAAGCACCATCCATGTCTCGCCATCAACGATGGCCTTGTAGAAGGCGCCATCCTTCGACGCAAGCCTCTCTATCGAGAGTCGGCCGTCCAATGTGAGCTCATCATCCTTGTGTTCCACGTGCGATGCGAAGCACCTCATGGCGTCGTTGGCGTGAGAGCCAGCCAAACTTGCGTACCTGATCATGTCACTTGCGCCACCCAAAAGGCCTTGGGCCTCCTCCTGCAACTTCCTGTTGAAGGCCTGGATCCTGTCCAGCTCTGCGCCCTGCAGCTGAATTGCCACCCCCTTGAACTCCTGGCTGTCGTAGCCGATGTCGCTGATCTCAGAGCACAACCTGTGGCAGTCGAAGGCCGACACACCGAGACCATCTCGGTTAGCGTCGTGCACGCCCACCTTCATGCAACTCAGGCATTGGCGGCATGCCAAGCCATGGTGTTCCAACACCTGCATGATCTTCCGCACAGATCCCACTAATGCCTTCGTGTCGGCATTCTGCAGGAGGTTTCGCACCTCCTCTTCGACTTCTGGCTTGACAGCCATCGCACTGATCGAAAACAAAGTCCAATTGAATAGTTAGTGAACAAGAAGTTACATTCTGACCATGCAACCATTGCATGCGACGCGCATGATCCACGAGACTGAAAACATGCTCGTTGTCACCATGTTCATGTTCATCCATGTTCACGCTCATGTTCATCCATGTTCAGGTTCATGTTCATCCATTCATGTTCATGTTCATGTTCATATACTCCATGTTCATGTTCATGACGTATATACACGCATACGTCGCTTTGGGCCAACATACACGCAACATCTCGAAACAGTACGTAGTAAGGAGTCATAAGTCATAAGCGCAGTCTCTCAAAGGATGCTTGTCAGTCTCTCATGTTGCAAAAGGACACGCCTCCCACAGGCGCACTACCCTTCCCGGCCTGCCTTCCCTGCTGACTGGCGAGCATACACTGCCCTGCCATGAGCGGGACTCACTCCAAGGTTGCCTGGCGGGGCCGGAGCTGAGCTGTAAGCACCAAGTTCCACAAGTCCCACAAGTCCCACAGTCAAGTCCCACAAGTCTCCACAAGTCCCAGTCTCTCACGACCAACCCTCTCAACAGGAAAGCTCCTATAAAAACGTTTCAAGTGTTTCAAGTTTCACATTTCAAGTTTGGGAAGGGCTTCAAACAACGAACGACTTCAAAGAACGTGCACGAAGGACAAATCAACTTTTTCTCAAACACTGAGCCGAGCAATTCATATCACCTTCATTGCGCATGAAGGTTTGCCACCCAAGAACTCGTGCTAGACTCCTTGGTCCGTGTTTCAGACGGGTCGAAAGAATCTCATATGTCATACGCGCATCATGAAGTTAGGAGGTGCAAAGTTAGGCCTCCACTGAGCTGATTGCACAGCGTCACGGACGTAAAATCCGAATGGCCATCTGCAAAGTTGGGCCAACTCATCGAACGCAGTTGCCAACTTGCAGAGTCCGGCGAAGACCAAAAACTGTTGCTGGAGGTCGATGACGGTCAAGTACCTCTCCACATCCTTCTGGAAGCCGTTGGCGCTTGTGCGCCACTCCCTCTCCCAGTTCTCTCGCAGCGGAAACTCGTCTCGGAGCCACCCAAAGCGATCGAACCAGAATCGCTGTCCGCCACCGTTGGCCAGGAATGCCACCTCGGTCTTTAAGGCGTGCTCAGCATTTTTGAGCTGAAGCTGCGCCTTTACCAAACTCCGAGTCACCTCCTGTGGCAGGGCCCAACACGCTTGCAAGGCCCTCTCAACTGACACCAGGACTCGGGTCGCTCCAATGGCACGCTCCACATCGGTACGCGCGTGCCGAAGCACAAAGGAGGCGATCCATGCCAACAACAGAGGCGCTGCCATTACGATCCAACCCAATCAGTGATCCAATCTACAATCACGGTATACGAGAGCCAAACCGCTATCAAACAAGGCGAGACGCATCCCTGCCAACAAGCGAGCAAAAGCCCTGCTCACGTTAACGACATTCAACAATTGATTGCACAGTAGGCCACTATATGCAATGCACTCACTTATAGACTCATATCAGATGATTGATTGAGCATCAACTATAACATGTACTGATCAAAAGTAACAATTCCCTCACCAAATGACTTCTCAACATGTCTGATCAAAAGAAACAACCTTGACTCACTTCCCTCATCAAATGCCCTCCAGAGACATGGCACCGCAACACTTCAGTCCCAAAATGGCGCCTTCTCAACTGGCGTTCGCCAAATGCCCATGGATCCAATTCTGCCTCGTGGATGCATTCGCCAAATTTGTTTTTGTTTGAGATACCGACCATGGAGTCAAGCTAACTAGAGCCACTAGAGAAATATTGGCCTCTCATTCTGTCTTTCAGTGAATGTCTTCATGCCAGCAATGCATGCCTCATGGATCTGCACATGTTTGTACGTGATCATGCACATGCCTACATAGTTCGACGTACAGTGATCTTGTACATGGAAATCCCACCTACCCTCCACTCTGGGCTCACCGCAGTCCCTTCGTCCAAGTTCCATCATGGGCACAATCATCACCCAACAAAAGGGTTTGACTGATATATATTATCTGTGCAGCCCCTCCCCGCTGCACAGGGTGGCACCCTCCTCCTCGCAAAAAATCGGTGCCTCCCTTTTGATATATTTACATATCTACATCTGCTGCAAATGGAAAAAACAAAGAAGAAAACAAAAACAAAACAAACTATAACAACAACTCCAAACAACAAGTTGTGGAAACTTTTTGCGGATACTTCCTAAAAACCTATCAAAATCAAACTGTAAATGCCAACAAAAGAAAAAACAATTCCAAAAAATTCAAAAATATCGACAAGAAACACATCGTCAAAAATATGTGGAAACGTTTTGTGCGGACCCCTCACAAAAATAAAAGTAAACACTTGCACTGCAAACGCCTTCGAAAAAAAAAAAGAACCCTAGGAAAGAAAACACATGCACGCATTGTACGCATTGTTCTGCGCACGCGTGCGCCTTTCCCGTGCACGCAAGCATTCGCCACGTAGCCCACAAGTGCACTTAACATACTTAGTAAGTTCCAGTTAGCCAACATACATAAATCACCTAAGTTACTTACCCCACATGCTCGTAAGCACGACAACTTACTTACAAAACTTAGCGCAAACTACTTACATTAAAGGCTAAGTAGATATTAAGTTGCCTTGCTACTTAACATAAATCTAAGCACTTACATGTTGACGCTAAGTACTTAACAAATAATACAAACACTATATGTATATTGACTGGTTTATATGTTGGTTTGGCCATGTTATAAGCAATGTTACTGAAGATATATATTCTTTTGGGTAACATATAAGTTCATTGCTAAGCACACTATCCGCTGTAGCCACTTAGCAACCACCACGGGCATCCAAGTAGGGCAATCCTCAAGTTCTGCTTGAGATGGCAGGATAACACTGCAGTTCCGAAAAACGATAGTGTATTCCGTGCCTTGCTGTAGCTTGTCCCAGATTGGGTCCTCTAGGTAAGTCTGTGTGGCAGTTTGCAGAAAGTCAATGAAGCACCCAAATACTTTGAGATCAGTAACAGAAACAAGATAGTCCATAACCTGATCCTCTAGATCTTCAAAGCGGTCAAACTTTGCAACACTGAGAGAGACCTGAAAAGTCTCTCCCGAAAGCGTAGTCAACATCAGGGAGTATTCCATGACCGGCTCCTTTTCAGGAGGAGTGCTAATCATGGATGAATCATCAAATTCCATATGCGACAGGCTATTTGCAAAAATTGTTTGAGCCAAAGGTGTCTGGGTCTGCGCGTGGGCTGTTCCCAAGGCCTTGGATTCTGAAGACAGATGCTAAGGCACCCACCTAGAGTCTACCATGGGTTGGCATGATATTGGCAATATTCGTGGTAGAGTTCCTCGTCAAAAGCATCCGAATCAGGTCCCTCTGCAGGGAGCAGCTCCACCCACTGGGGTTTTTCAAACTTGTCACACATAAAAAAGGCATTGTGCTCTGCTTGTACCCACTGTTCAATGTCACCCCAGTCCAGGGGGGTGAATCGTTGCAGCTGCTCACACCCACAAAATGCACGGTTGCCTATATCCCTGAGCTCCGTCGGGATGACAACTTCTTGCAGTGCCCCACAATTCAGAAAAACTTCTTTGCCAATTAACGTGAGTCGTGGCGGGAGCCATATGCAGTTTAAAGCGACACAGTGGGCAAATGTGGAAGAAGGGAGGGCTGTGATCTCTGTGTCCATGAGGTTGACCTCCACAAGGCTTTTACAATTCTCACAGGCACGCGGCCCGATATTGTGGAAGTCACTCGGCAGGCAGAGCTGTTCTATGCCTGCGCCGCAGAATGCCCCTTCAGGCAGTCCTCTAGGTTTGTTAGTATGATCCATGTCAAAGGTGATGGTGGCAAGTGTGAGGCAACTCTCGAGGGCGTATTTACCTAGTTGTGCCCCTGGTGCAAGGACACTGTTGTCCTCTGTTCCATGACTGGCCCCAACTCGACTTAGGGAGCAGCACTCTGCAAACACCCTTGGACCGTATCGGATACACCCCGGGGCGGCGACCTCTCGCAGCACATAGCACCCTAGGAAAGCCCCTTCTGCCAGACTTATGACCGAGGGTGGGAGCTTGACAATTTGTAGTTGCTGACACGCCTGCCAAGCCGCAGCTCCTACATGTTGAATGCCAGTTGTCACTTCTACATGCCGGAGCGAAGGTGCGGCATAAAATGCTCTGTCGGCAATTGCCCCTCGCGGGTTGGGCGGGACACGAACAGCTTTGGGGTAGCTCTCCTTGTCGTCATCCTGGAACTGCCAGATGGAGTGCCCATCTACCATGCAGGGACGAACTACAATTTGGAGCTGCGGTCGTTGCAGGAGCACAGTGCGGAATGCCTCTGGCAGGGGTTGCTGCGTTTGGAGGTTGAGCAACTCCAGTTCACAGCCGAAGACATCTAAATCAGAGACTGTCGGCAGAAAGCAGAGAATGTCATCTTCAAGCTCTGCTACATCCTCATAGTGGGAGAGGTCTGTCTGCATTGCATATACCGTACCTGCTATGGTAACCAACTCGAGGTTGATCTCATAACGGTCTTGGTGAGTCGGCATTGTCGCGTAGGCGGTAGCTCGAGCGTGCTTGCTAAGTTTGCTTGAGCCAAATTACAGAGACACCGAAGATATAATCTTTGCGAACCCTGTTATGACAATTAAGCTACAAGTAGGAGGGTGGCTAAGGCCACCCACCTCCTGGAGAGGATCAAGCAACTCGGAGACGGTTGCTGATCGGGATGATTCCTACTGCCGACTACCTTACTGCCACCAACCATAGGACCACCCATAGGGCGAGGGCGATGGGGAGGGCTTACTGTGCCAGGAAGACCATGCTGCCGACGAGGAGCTTCCCGATTCTGGCGGGGGGACAGTTCGGCGAGCTTTATTACCTGGGTCAGGGGCTTCTTGACTGTAGCCCATGTGGTCTCGAAGCGCCTGCTTGTGGTCCACGAGTTG